CGATGTAATCAAATGATGATTTATAGACCAAAGTTCTATTCTCTTGAAGGATTTCGGGATCGGTACATTGGATTTACTCAGATCTTCATTTACGTTCATTTCGTTGATTATCTTCTTCCAGCTTCTCCGTCCATCGTCACCGAAGAATTTAATCGTCAGCAACTTTGATTCGAACAAGTTGTCATAGTTGAATATTTTACTCGTCGATTTCCCTATTGCACTCTATTCGACGCTCTCCGTCAACTCGAGCGTCGAGGAATCCATGCGTCAGCGTCCTTGACGCAGTGCGTCGCCCGAAGTTTGCTCGCTGATGGTGTAATTCGATGGTCGCATCAAACCATTTCTTCACTTGAGATTTTATTCCAATTATTTCCACCACAGTATCAGTCCCACAAATTAACTCTTTAGGTTTCATTGTCTTCCGATACCAAACGATAATATTCCTTCGTTTTTGGTGTAAATTGACAGGAGTTTGGGGGTTCTTCAACCCTAAAAATCTCATGACTGCTTTTGTGAAGATCACTGACATTGAATTCTTCATTACCCTTGGAGCTGAATAATTTCCCATCTTCTTCCCGTAATCGGTTGTTGCTGGTTGATCTGCAGACGACTGACTATCGTTTAGGTAATTTCCCCAAGTTTCGAGAATTTCATCCCGGAAATCCGATAACAACTTGTTGCTCATACGAGCCTTCTGTTTGTGTCTGGGATGCGCAGCATAATTTCCCTTGAGAAGACTTTCCCACGTCACTGATGACCTCCGAATATCCATAATTTTGGATGAAAGATTCTCAGTATCAACTCGGAGTAATGCGCATGAATTATTCGTCAGGAAATTACAATTCCCAACGTCTTCAAAAAGGCTCTGTTTGCGCTGTGATGAGGATGACTCGACATTTGTACTGGGAACCAATATGTTGACCATGGTCAAGAAGATGACGTCAGTCAGTGGAATGACCTCTACTCGAGTCTCGGTCTTCAAACGTACACCTGCGACGATTTCCACATGGTGCTGAATCTGCAGTCTGATTTCGTTGCGACTTTTTGTTTGCAAACTTATTACACCTGTGATATTCCTCGTGGAAACCAACTCGTCCTCATGCTGCCCCGATACTCTCAGATTCTTTATTGCACTTGCCTTTTTCATTTTAGGCCCTTGTGCCCCTTTCAAAGATTCATGAGAGATCATTATGTAGCCACTCATCGTGCGATGACGTTCCCTTAATTTCCTCAGTCGAATGGTGACCTCCATCGGCATCGTGTTGACGTCATAATTCCTTTGAATTTTCCCCGTGAACCATTTAGGCTTAAGGAAAGTCTTCCGGAATTTGTTGGACAGCTTCGTTCGGAGATGAAGAGTAAAGAGTTTCCTCTTGTGAGAAATTATAGTCACAATCGAAACATTATTGACTGGACAGTTTCGTGTTGGCTCCTTGAACTCAATCTTGAATAATGTGCCCATACTACAGACATTGGAGAGGCAATGTTTTCCATCCCTCTGAGAATCTTTCTCGTTCAAACGAAGATTCTCAGAATCCATACCTCCTATGCCTGCCTGAGAATCTTTCTCGTTCAAACGAAGACTCCCAGGACCTGCACTTTGTTGGTCTGTTCGGGACAAATATTCCTCCAATCGTTCAGGGGTATTCTTATCTATTGCCCAAGTGGCCCAGATGATGATACGCATTATTACGTTCCTCTGAAATTCCCACAACCCCGGGGAATTCCCGGAAGAATAATAGAATTTCTTTTTTTGAAGAGTCCCAAAGATTTTATCCAGCGTGAAAGTAAATTCACACTCAGCCTCTTCTTCCGATGAGTTCCGGAAAATCCATGAATCAGGTTTTTCCCTTGAGTGATCTCGCTTCCTCTCGAATGGAGTGATTATTCCGGAAGGATTTGGTAATGAGAATGAGCCTCCGATGATCCCCTCATTCCTCTTCAGCTTCCGTAACTCCACTCTTCTTGGGTCTCTCCTGACAACAAACAACAAGACTATCCCCGAACGTTTAGCCAATTTCTCCAATTTCTTACTGAACGGTAGATGCACCAGATGCTCAGACGCCACCATCCCTGCGTTATCAGAATGACCGCTATTTTTGCCAAGAAAACTCATGTCTCTCGTCAGCATCTGACAATGCTGTCCTAAGCCTGATAATCCATTGGAAATACGGTTTTTCTCCACCCTCGACCATTGCCTTTTCAGCATCTCTCCTCTCCTGCGAGGAAGAAAAATCCGTTTTTCTGATGGGACTTCTCGGAACGTGGAACCGCGTTGACTCATTCGAGGAACGTCTGCCTGCTGATCCACCTCAACAGATGACTCTTCATGGAAATGTGCAATTTTTTCCCCCATGTAACCGGGGTGATTGCAAATTGTAATGGTCTCAGTATCGGAAGCATTTGCTTGTCTTAAGTTTTCCCCCTCCGCTTCTGAAGTGTGTGCTAGTTGACTAATCTGAATCACTGCATTGCTGACCCTTAGTTCAGACCAATTCCGCTTATTGTTAATGGCCTTCAATCCAAAAAACCTCAGTATGGAGCCATTTATTGAAATAGCCCTCCCTGGAATGATTCTCACATTCAGGTCCTTTGATTCCAGGAAATCTTGACCCAAAATACCTCCTGAGCACGGAAAGTTATCGGGAACTACGTGGAAAATGTGTCCCAATTCCTCCTGCTTAAAGCGGAAATATATGATTACTTTCCACAGTGTCGGAATCTCTTGGTCAGCAATTCCTCGCAACAGATTGACATCTTCAATCAGCGGAAATTTTTTACGTAATTTCCCCTTTTTAATTAAAGAAACAGCCGCACCCGAGTCCATCAAGAAAGCCGTGCAATGTGATTTCTATGATTCTCCGGCCTGGCTGGTCTTATTACTCGTTTCGCCCTCTGCGTACAATCCGAATGTCTCAGGATGCTGCTTGAATCACTTTCAATCTGGTATGTCATAACCCTATTGACATTTCTGCAACGTGAATTCACCTTCCTAAGTTTTCCATTTTTATTCTCCTCCTTCTGTTTGGAATAACCTCTGTTCTTCATTTTAGCCTTGTTCCGATTCGGAGTGGCCTCAATTTCTACTGAATCAGAAATGACGAGTTGTCTCTTCAGTTGACGGCAACAATATGCATTGTGACCCACACGTCTGCAATATTTGCACTTTTCCTGATTTTGACTCTTAATGAAATGTGGAGAATTCGGACGAATTACATTGCCGTTCGTAATTTCCAATGAGAGCCCGCACTCTGCAGGTGTGTGTCCCTCCTCTGCACAATTGAAACAAATATTCAATTTTGTTTTACTCTGTTGTCGGTACGTTTGCGTTACTATCGCCCTATCTTTGGGGGTTTCCCTTTTCCTTGGAAGATCTGGAAGATCGGCCGCCGCCCAGGCGTTGTCCTCAATTCCCGCCTGCCTCATCGGGCCTTCGTTTTCTGGAATTCCTACATTCGACGACACGTATTGCCCCGTGTCCCACTTCGGAATTTCCGCTGAGCTAAGCAGCATTTCCACCTCGAGTTCTGCTGCTAGCGTTGTTACATTGTAACACCTGCGAAGGTCTGCTGCCGCGTTCACATGCTGGCGACAAGCGGCGGCGGCACGTTCCGGGCGCCGTTGTCGCTGGTATGTGCCCGCGCTGACGGTTATAGGTAGGCGGCAAATGGTGGTAGCACCTTCTCGTTCGACGGGGGGACGCACGCCGACGGACGCTATGGCGTCAGTTAGTTAACACCGACACTGAAACGTGTATCGAGCTCTAACAAAATCTTAAATCTTATCAAGTCATCACGACTTTAAATAAACGAACCCAACGGGTTCAACAAATTAAACTAACAACGAACTAGTGCACTAGTGAAACGAATTTTAATAGCAAGTAGCTATAAAATTAACGATCGAATGAACGATTAACCAACGGCACGAAATCACACGATTTCGTGCCTCCACGTGGCACACAGCCACGCTTCCAAGGACGCAACTAACGATTGCGCCAATCAACCCCCAAATTAGCCTGCGTTATTAAGGTTTTAGTGTAGGTTAATGTTTATATGTGTGGACACGTGCTGACCGTTGTCACAAACAACTAAAATAACGAACAAATACATTGTGTTGTATGTATGTGTGTGTGAATCGTCGTGTGTGTCACCGTCATTCGCAGTGAACCCTCCAAACTTGGTGTATTGATAATAAATCTGGGTTTTTTATGCCGAAAGGCTTTTTCCCACAAACTGTCGTCTTTTTTTCTACAATTTAATGCAGTTATCATACCACCTAGGGTATGATAGCCTCCAATGTCAATTCATGGTGCCTCCTGTGAGGTTTGAACTCACAACCCCTGGTTTAAACTGCGAGTGACGTGTGCGCACAAATACGTAAAAATAAAGAAAAACGTTATAAAAACTGTTAAGCAGTCCTCGACGAATCATCACGTCAGACAACGCTCATCGTCAGCCATCACCCGTCACTCCCGTTCCAGGAAGCATCAACGTCCAGTAGATCTCCGCATCGTAAATTAGTACAAAGATAAGTCTGCCATAGTTATCTTACTTGCATTCAGTTCGTCAATTTTGTTCATTTGGTCGTTATTTTCCGATTCGTTCATATTTTTCATCTGTGTTCCCGTCGTGTGAGTAGACAAGTCTGTTCGCGCGCATGCGTCAGCTGACGCATTTGTGGGACTCACAGCATTAACACGCGCCAAATTGAATTCGTTATTTGTGGATAACATCTTCCTTTTTCAAACAATTTATGTTTAGTCCAATTCAACGCAATTTAATTAAGTTTTTAGTTAATTATTTGATACATTTCAATGCAACGTAATTGATTTTTCTCAGTCAATTAGTAAATTGAACTATTATAAAACAGTTATTTCATCTTTTCAAGTATTTCATCAATTTCTATAAAATCACCTCAGTTCTATTAATTTAAAATAGAAGCCTTTTTATAATAAAATTCAGAAATTTTAATCTTGAAAAAATGGAACTTTTCAAGAAGAGATGAAACGCGTTGCGTATCTTCAAAAAAGATTGAACACTTTTGCCATTCAGGTAGAAAAATTGGAACAATACTTGGAAAGCCTAAATTTTGATCCCATAAATGCTAAATTGCGTCTGGACAGTTTGTCAACATTTTATGAGAATTGTTTGAAGTACAAGGAAGAGTTGACTTCACTTCAACCTGATGATCCTCAGGTGGAGGCTTTTGTAGATATTGAGGCTCGACATTTCGAGGTGGCTACGGCAGTCACAAAGTTGCAACGAGTCGAGCCACTTCTAAGTTCCACGCTCAATCCCAGCAATATTACGATTACCGAAAGGCAAGACCTACCAAAACTCCCTAAAATTCGGATCCCCGTTTTCGATGGTAAGCGGGAAAATTGGGCTACATATAAGAACAAATTCATTGCTCTTATCCATTCTCGAACGGACATCAGTGACGCAGTGAAGTGCAGTCAACTTTTCGACTCCCTCACGGGCCAAGCTCTGGCCAAAGTCGACCAATTTGATCCTAGTGACAAGGATTATCCAAAGGCTTGGAAAACTCTTCTGGATTTCTATGACCACAAACGCATCGTGGCCGTAGAACATCTGAATGCCATTCTCGATCTTCCTCAGTTCACAAAGGCGTCCGCTGACGACTTATCGACACTTCTGGACAAAACTCGCCAACATCTTCATATTCTGGAGGGTCTTGGCGCTCGATCGGGTGACGATTTCGTTGTTCGTATCGTCGAGCGCTGTCTTCCTCCAGCAGTCAGAAGAAAATGGCAGGACAAACTTGGGATGGATGAGCTCCCAAAGTTAGACGATCTTCTCGAGTTCATCCAAAACACTATTTTCAAACAGCAAGCTGGGGATTGTGTGTCCCTACCTATTCGCACTCACAATCTGAAAAAGAGAACAGGAGAGAATCTTTCTCAGTCTTCTAGCAAATTTGCTACGACTACTTCCCACACTTTCGTCACTTCGTCCAAAGATGACTCTTCTGCCTCTCAGCTCACCTCTTTGGTCTGTCCGAGCTGCAAGGAGGCTCATCACCTTTACAAATGTCCAACATTCAACGGACTTAGGGTTCAAGATCGTTGGAATCTTGTGAGGAAGGTGAAGGCCTGTCATAATTGTCTTTGGGTTCACCAATTTCCTTGCAAGAGCGACAAGCGTTCCAAAAAATGCAGTCGCAATCATCACACACTGTTGCACAATGAGAAGGGCTCGCAACAGTCCAAACCCAAGGATGCCGCAACTCCCACTTCAGGCAGCAGTCAACAATGACTAGCGCGTCCATCATGCAAGACTGGAGCCTTCCCGTCAGACTCGCAATTGATGACCACAGCAGTCATCAAGGTTCGAGACAATCGAGGGAATCTTGTCATGGCACGTGCACTATTAGATTCTTGTTCCACAGTGAATTTAATCACAGAACAATTCGCGAAATCACTTCAATTATCCACAACTAGTTGTTCTATTAACATTGGAGCAGTTGACGGTCTGTGCACTGTTGCGAAGAATTATGTTCAATTAGTTCTTTATTCAAATTACAATAGCTTCAAACAACGATTGAATTTTTTACTAGTGCCAAACATTGCCGATGCAGTGCCTAATGACACGTTCCCTCGAAATCAATTCAGCATCCCTAAGAATGTTCAACTCGCTGATCCTCAGTTTCATCTACCAAGGTCAATCGACCTTTTGTTAGCATCCAACACCACATTGTCTGTTTTGTCCATTGGTCAGATTAAACTCTGCCATAAAGATTCTGCCATCGTCTTACAGAAAACTCGTTTGGGTTGGATCGTCGCCGGAGGGTCTGAGATGTTGACTTCTTCAACAACCACTCCGTGCAATGTCGTCAAATTGGACAAAATAATTGAGCGTTTCTGGTATGTTGAAGACTTTGATCATGAACCCGTTCGATCTCGTGATGAAATTTATTGCGAACAACATTATCTTGCACATACCAAGCGTGATGTTAGTGGAAGATACATAATTCGACTTCCATTCAGAGATTCCAAATTCAATCTAGGTGAATCTCGTAGGCAGGCTCTCAAACGCTTTTCTTCGTTAGACCGAAAACTTTCATCGAATCCTCCACTGAAATCCGAGTACATCAGAGTGATGGAGGAGTACATTTCTCTTGGCCATATGACTCTTTGTGATGAAACTGAAGGTGGGTATTATCTTCCTCACCATGCTGTAATCAAGGACTCCAGTGAGACCACCAAGGTTCGTGTAGTGTTCGACGCTTCAGCCAAAACTTCTACGGGCATTTCGCTCAATGACACCCTCCTGGTTGGTCCCACTATCCAAAATACCATATTTGAACAAGTTCTTCGATTTCGCACTCATCGCTATGTCATCACGGCGGACATTGAGAAAATGTATCGTCAAATCTTGGTTCATCCAGATGATCGACAGTTCCAAAAGGTTTTATGGCCCTATCAGGGGAATCTTCGAACTTTCCAACTCAACACTGTGACTTTTGGTACACCCGCCGCTCCATTTCTAGCAGTTCGTACTATTCAGCGACTTGCTCGTGATGAAGCACACGATTTTCCACGTGCCAGTAAACTTCTCTTTCGTGACTTTTATGTCGATGATTTCATTTCCGGGGCCGATTCTTTGGATGAACTATTGACTATCCGTGATGAGATGATTGCTTTATTATCACGCGGTGGTTTCATCATTCGTCAATGGTCATCTAATCATCGTTCAGCTTTGAACACCTTCGATAAAAAATTCTTCGATTTAGACTGTTTGATCAAAAATGATCCAGTCCAGAAAACCTTAGGAATCATATGGGATGCCCAAAATGATCTGTTGCGGTATACTTTGAATCAGGTCGATACTAACGTCGCTGCAACAAAACGTAAACTCCTCTCTGAATTGTCGAAAATCTTTGATCCCTTAGGGTTACTAGGTCCCGTAACATTATTCGCTAAAGTCTTAATTCAAGACTGCTGGAAGGCTAAGATCACTTGGGATGAGTCTCTTCCTCAAGACATTCACAGCAAATGGACATCATTAGCACTTCAACTACCAAGGTTGCAAGAAATCTCATTTCCTCGACAAATTCTGATCCCTAATCATTCTCGAGTCGAAATCCATGGATTTTGTGATGCCTCCATTCATGGATATGGGGTGTGTCTGTATATCAAATCTAGCAATCCACAAGGTGATGTATTAATCAAACTAGTCGGCAGTAAATCGCGAGTAGCACCCTTGAGTGGACTTACCATCCCTCGATTGGAACTCTGCGCAGCTACCATCCTCAAAAGATTATATCTTGAAACTAAGGCTCAGTTGGACTTCTCCATTGATCAGGTTTATTTATGGTCTGATTCCGCTATCGTTCTTTGCTGGCTCAAGAAAGCCCCTCATCTTTTAAGAACTTTCGAATCAAACAGGGTTGCAGACATTCAAGAGTTAGGAAATCAAGTTACCTGGAGACATGTCCGATCTGAGGACAATCCAGCTGACGGATTGTCTCGAGGACAACTTCCATCCGACCTCGTCAAAAATTCTCTCTGGACCTCAGGTCCTAGATGGTTGATTCTCGACCAATCCCAATGGCCACAGTTGATCGAACCTTCGGTCACTCAAGTGCCTGGACTAAAAAAGAGCATCTGCCTGCTCACTAACATTTCATCTCAATCCATTTACACTCGTTTCTCGAACTTCGAACGATTGGTGAGAGTTGTTGCTCGCATCTTGCGTTGGAAGACTTCACAAGCTCCTCGGAATCGTCCACTCTCGGTTGAGGAAATCCACGAAGCCGAATATCGCATTGTCTTGATGGTTCAGGGTGAACGATTCTCCACCGAACTCCGAAGGCTTTCGACGACACAGTCTTCGGAGGGTCCAGTCCGTTCATATTTGAAGAGAACTCCCTTTGATCAATTACATCCATTCGTGGATGACAAGGGAATCCTTCGTGTGGGGGGACGTCTCAAGAGGTCGGAACTTTCTTACAATCAAAAACATCCCATTTTGCTGCCCAGTAAACATCCTGTTACGGATATGATCATTCGACAAGTTCATCAGTCAAATCTCCATGCAGGAATCCAGAGTACTCTTCACGCCATTCGATCAAAATTCGGGATTTTAAACGGCAAGGATAAAATTAGGAAACTTGTCCGTCAATGTGTTGAATGCATCCGCCAGAAACCAAAGTTGGTTCACGCTCAGATGGCTGATTTGCCTAGAGCTAGAGTCAACGAAGCACCAGCTTTCTCGCGCACAGGTGTCGACTTCTTTGGACCAATTCTCATCAAGGAGAAGAAGGATCGGAACCGATCCTTCCAAGGCCTATGGTTGTGTGTTCGTTTGCATGGTTTCAAAGGCCGTACATATCGAGCTGGCCACTGATCTTTCCACAGAAGGTTTTTTATCGGCATTTCGAAGGTTTGTCAGTCGCAGAGGAGTTCCTGAACATGTCTATTCTGACAATGGAACAAATTTCATTGGAGCGAACAGAGAGCTTAGCGAACTTTACGATCTGATTTCCACCCCTGATTTCAAAGAGGTAGTAGGAAACTATGCTTTGTCCAAACGCATCGAGTGGCACTTCAATCCGCCACTGTCTCCCCATTTTGGAGGGATTTGGGAAGCGGCTGTAAAGAGTTTCAAACATCATTTAAAGCGCGTTTTAAAGGATCACAAGCTCACTTATGAGCAACTTAACACTCTTCTTATCGAGATCGAAGCAATCTTAAATTCGCGACCTTTGTGTACTCTTTCAGCCGATTCCAATGATCCCTTAGCCATAACTCCAGCTCACCTATTAATAGGTAGACCATTCAACGCGCTGCCCGATAAATCGTTTATTTCAGTTCCAGATAATCGTTTGTCTACGTACAATTTCATCACTAAGGCCAAACAAGATTTCTGGAACAAGTGGCACAAAGAATATCTCCACGAATTGCAAACTCGTCATAAATGGCATGACTCAACTGCGGAACTCAAACTAGGCTCAGTGGATGATCTGGTCACCTGTGTACGATGGCCACTGGGAGTGATCGTAGAAGTCTTCCCTGGGAGTGACGGCATCGTTCGAGTCGCATCAGTCAAAACTGCTGGCGGCATCTACAAACGGAACATCACTCGCCTATGTCTCTTGCCTGTAACTTAGTTGTAATCTAGCGTATCAAGAATTGTAAACATGCGAACTTATTCAACCTGCTCTATGACAATATATTCTAATAACATTTCGCAGCTTTCGCCGGGAGTATGTTACATTGTAACACCTGTGAAGGTCTGCTGCCGCGTTCGCATGGTGGCGACAAGCGGCGGCGGCACGTTCCGGGCGCCGTTGTCGCTGGTATGTGCCCGCGCTGATGATTATAGGTAGGCGGCAAATGGTGGCAGCACCTTCTCGCTCGACGGGGGGACGCACGCCGACGGACGCTATGGCGTCAGTTAGTTAACACCGATACTGAAACGTGTATCGAGCTCTAACAAAATCTTAAATCTTATCGAGTCATGACGACTTTAAATAAACGAACCCAACGGGTTCAACAAATTAAACTAACTAACAACGAACTAGTGCACTAGTGAAACGAATTTTAATAGCAAGTGGCTATAAAATTAACGATCGAACGAACGATTAACCAACGGCACGAAATCACACGATTTCGTGCCTCCACGTGGCACACAGCCACGCTTCCAAGGACGCAACTAACGATTGCGCCAATCAACCCCCAAATTAGCATGCGTTATTAAGGTTTTAGTGTAGGTTAATGTTTATATGTGTGGACACGTGCTGACCGTTGTCACAAACAACTAAAATAACGAACAAATACATTGTGTTGTATGTATGCGTGTGTGAATCGTCGTGTGTGTCACCGCCATTCGCAGTGAACCCTCCAAACTTGGTGTATTGATAATAAATCTGGGTTTTTTATGCCGAAAGGCTTTTTCCCACAAACTGTGTTCTTTTTTTCTACAATTTAATGCAGCTGTCATACCACCTAGGGTATGATAGCCTCCAACGTCAATTCAAGCGTGCAACACTTGTTAAACTACAATTCAATGTTCACCATTTCCATCAGGCGTTGAATTGGTCGTTGTAACCCCAACTCAAAACGAATTTTGGCTATTTTCATTGCTAACCCCTCGACACGATCTGCGAATGCGCTGACATCTTCACCCGAGCCATGCCGTAGGCTGCAAAATTCCAGATTTAANACCCGAGCCCTGCCGTAGGCTGCAAAATTCCAGATTTAACTTCTCCAAGGTTTCTGCTCTGGCATCTGTCACTTTTGTACTCCCGTACTCAGACCCCGCCATAGTTGTATCCTTTCCGTTGCTTGGTTCCAAAGGGGCTGTACCTTCCCTAGCGTCGGCAAAATCCTCTTTCCCGCAGTCAACTGCACGGATGACAATTGTCGCAGCCTCCATGGCCACATTCGATGTTCCGCCCGCTGACAACGAACCTGGTACGTCTACCAGTGCTGGTGCCTCGACCAGTTGCTGCGTTACGCCTGGCACGCCGGCCAGGGCTTCCTTAATAATCGACACACTTGCTAGTGTCCTTGGGCCCATGTCAACAAATTTTTTCTCTCGACGAGATACACTGTGAACTCTTTTGGTAATAGACATACCCTCCAGAGTCTCACCTAGTCGTACTATGTCCACAGTACTTCCCAAGACCTGAGAGACCGTAGAATACAGTGGAAATCTTCCGGATTTATTCCCACTCTGACGACAAAAATTCCTGGCAGCGATAAATTCTCCTTGAATTCGCAAAGCCATCATTATTTCCGTAGCAAGTCACAGAAATAATCCACAATGAAGCTGAATAATCAGTGAATTTATTGAATACTTCAGCTGCTTCAGATTCTCCTCCCCCTTTTGAAGAGAACCAAGTCTGACTTTTTAAAGCTGAGGACAAAGTCAGACCTTGTACTATTCAGTTGAATAGGTTTCTGGATCCAAAACGTCCCTCCGTACGATTGGAATCCCCTTCTGCCAGTCTAACCTAGGCATTGAGCTTCCTGAATCCAAAACGTCTCTCCGTACGTTGAAGATCCTCGACTGCTAGTCTCTCCTAGGATAGTCTCTCGCTCCCTCGAAAAAAAAAATGATTTCTCGAAGGATGATGATGTACCTCTAATTCTCCAATGTCCCCCGAATTATTCTCGTACCCTCCTATAGTCGTCGGCAAGAGTTGATCAGGCCGTGCCTTCGAAGACACCGCTGCCACCAAATATGTTAGGGATATCTCCCTGGGTTCTGTTTTGCATGGAGATAAATCTCCCTACAGTGGGACGGTAATAGAATCCGGCGGAGTAATTAATAGAGAAAGAGGTTTATTCAATTAGGCTAACTCATAATTAGCCAGATGGAATAAATGTGAGGATTTTACAGTTGAATTACAAGTTTAGTATTGAGTTTAACTCACGATGACGACTGAACTCCCGAATATTGGTGAGTTCACCTTATATAACAATTAAGCATGTCATGTTATGACACTGGTCAGCAGTGTTACGCATGACATGCTGATTCAGTAAAATAATGAGTGAAGCAAGTTGTATTCAACTTCTTCACTTTTATTAAATACATTATTACTTAAGATTACAACATCATTCTGGGGCATAACCAATGAATAATTGAGTCTTTGGAAAAATGTGAGAAAACGAAAAGATGTCAAGTTAGTTACCAAATGGGAGGGAAGATACGGTGCTAAGGCTCTGATTGCTTTACCCAATTTCCATAGCTGTACTGTTTTTGTTAACGATAATGATGACTTGGTAATTATCCAATTGAGTCGTACTCAATTGTACTTTAACAAACCAATCTACGTGGGGTTTACCATTTTGGATTTATCAAAAAGATTTATTTATGACTTCAATTATGATTATGTAAAAAAGACATTCGGTGATAAAGCAAAACTAATGTACACCGATACAGATAGTCTTTTATATAAATTCAAAGTTCTCGACATATCATTAAAAATGATAGCGATAAATTTGATACATCTGATTATCCCGCTGATAATGTATATGGAATTCAACTCAAGAATAAGAAGAAATTGGGCCTTATGAAAGCTGAATGTAATGGAAAAATTATGAGTGAGTTCATTGGCTTGCGTGCTAAATTGAATACATTCAAAATTCATGAAGATGTAAGAGAAAAAAAGCGTGCAAAAGGTGCGAAAGGTTCCAAATTGAAAACTATTACTTTTAATGATTACAAAGATTGTCTTTTCAATTGTGAGGATTTTGTGAAATCACAATATTTAATTAGAAGTAGAAAACTTGAGGTTGAGGTTGATGTATAGTATATACATCAAAGAAAATTAGCTTTAAATTGGCAGGATGATGAACGAATAATCTGTACAAATCGAATTGATACTGTACCATATGCCTATTTCAATAAATAAAAGTGTAACTTATATATAGTAAACGATTCAGTTTTTTAATTTTTCAGTGGAAAAAATACATTCATTAAATGATCACAAATTATTTTTATCTATCCAACTATTATGAGAATCATCAAATCCAAGCCATTTCACGAAAGCTTGATTGCCACGTCTCTTCAGTACTTTTTCCATGAGATAAATATCAGGATACTTGACTTTCGCTAATTTCTCTTGATAGAATCCACCCTCAATTGGCTTATTCTCATAGTCAATGAGTTTATAGGTTACAGGATTGGTATTTACAACCTTGCTGATGGTAAATATTTCGGTTGTCCAGTTGGGTGTATAGCCTTTTTCAAATACATTCTTGTACTTGCTAACCCTCACTTAATCTCCAACCTTGAATTTGGTTTTGTTCGTGTGATTCACTGGAAATTTACCGTAAACATGTCGTAAAAGATATTTTTCATTCTCAGCAGTAACATCTATGGGTTTCATACGGATTGTACGATGCTTGGTGTTGTTATAAGACTGAACAAGATTCTTGGCTATAGGAATCCACTTGTATGTTTCTTGTAAACTGAACTGCTTCCACATTTTTTCTTTGAGAGTACGATTAAATCGCATACATATGGACGCTTTGAGATTACTGAATGTTGAATACATAGTAATACCATTATCCTCCATCAGAGTCTTAAACTCAGTGTTGTAAAATTTTTTTCCTCGGTCCACATGCAATTTTTGTGGTTTACGTCCTTGTTTCAGCACGGACTTCATGGCATTTGTCACATCTTTCCCATTTTTCGTTTTAGTCAGCTCAGCCCAGGCATACTTTGAAAAAATATCAATAACTGCTTGAAGATATTTGTAGCCCTTATTTTCATGAGCATAAGCAGTCATGTCAACAAGATGAGCCTGCCAAGTCTCATCCATTCCGCGCACATCAACATACCGTCGTGGATAATTTCTTCGAACTGATTTATGAAGCTCCTCAAATACTACCGCT